CAAAAGTGCAGGAACTTAGCGATGAGTAAATTTGTCTCATGATTTCCTGTGGAAAACCTAAAAAATCTGCCAGAAAATGAGGAAATTGACGAAAATTTTATTCAGTCTCGGAGTAGTACCAATAGACTGAGTGAATCCAATCGTTACTTTTCTCAAATTCGGAAATTTTCCCCTGGAATCCTGGAAAAACATGAGGCAAATCTACTCATCGCTGAGTTCCTGCATTTTGTTTCTTATTGCTGAGATAACTTAACTCAAATTTGGGTCGATCTCATTCGCCGTGATATCACCTTGAAAGATATCGGCACCGGTGGTTAGCGAGATTACCTCTCACCCCAGCAGGCCTGGGTCCAATCTCAATCGGCGCCACCGGCATGTTCTAAGGCATAACATCTCTGATCACGCCTTCCTTCGGGAAGTAAAGCCGTTGGTCCCCGGTTGAGTTGATGGGTCGATTGGTAGGGTCCAGGTGTGGGAGCTGCCTAACTGGCGTCGGTGGCATTGGAGCTCAGTACGGAAAACAAATCTCGCGTCACTTTTCAATAGGTCCTATCTATATTGATCGATTCTCTTCATCGACACTCTCTTTCGTAAATAACTCGGCTTCACAAAAGTTTCCTGCCGTCTTCGTCAAATTAGATGCTAGATTGTTGCTTCTTCCATCGAAAATATCCTGCCATGGCGATTTAAAGTTGATCAAGGTTGATCAAAATAATCTATACCCTGCTTCCAGTTTGATTAAATGAGCATTTTGTGTGATCGTTGGTTCTGAATATGGACAAACAGGCAGATGGATTCTATTCCTTCAATAGTTTCTCTTTACTGTACTAAGCTTGGTGGCCCTGAAAAGAGCCGATTTGTTGCCAAAGTTGGTGATGATTTAACCTCCGAAACCAAACAGAGTGCGTCTCTGTAACTTCAAAACGTAGATGACATCCATGGCCGCTTACGCTTGGCGTGTATAGTGTAGGTGACAGCATCACGGATCTCATTTTTCAGGAACACCTTCAGCACACCTCGTAAATCAGACCGGAGATACGTCAGACACCGCCACGGCGAGCCAGACGTCGGATGGTGGTTATCTCGAAGAATTTGCGTTTGGTTCTGAATATGACGATGAGTGTGCAACATATTACGCAATTCCATCCTCCCTATTCGCACGCGCCCGAGGATCGGAGGCGAATGCCACTTCGACTTGTTTCGTCTACTTACTACTCTCTGAGGACTGTGCTGGGGAAGCAGCATATGCATGTAGGTAATTGGTGGATTTGTTAGTTAATTCGACGCTTTTGGACAATACTGGACATTTAACACTGTTTCAATAGTTTCTTGTTGAAAATTAACATTCGGAAGCATTGTTATCGATGCGTAGCCATATTTCTGATCGATTGGTGATAAAATTATTGAAATTGGACCAGGGGCAGCTGAGTTATTAACGTTCAAAATCTTTCTTAATTTGTTACATGTTCCATTTTTGGTTTTCACAAAGTGTACCCCCATATAGAAATCAAAGACGTAGTCCTACGTCAAAAGTTATCCTCCTATGGCATAGAGTTGTCCGTGAATCAGGTAGAAGTCCTCGTCATGCAGTTGAACCGGAAACAAAAAATAAACAGGTAGCACAATCATTCACGTGTACATTAAATCTAATTGGAGGCGAACCAGCCTAAGGCTGAAAGCCTCCTAAATAAAGCTAAATAATAATAATAATGTACATTAAATCGACAGCTACACACCTTCTCAGGAGTCTGCGTTGAATACGGTGACGAAAGGTTTCCGCTGCACAGTTAAAGTCGAAAAACTCGTAAAACTCGTTGAAAGACATGAACCGTATTGGGTCATACAAGTTGTAGTTCGCAGCACGAGGTCCAAGATGCAGGAAACTCCTCGACCGAAGAACTCGTTCGGGTGCGTAGATTTCGAATTCAGCCAAGATTCCTGGAGAGTCGATATCACCAATAAGTACTTTCGCTGCGAACACGGCCTGACTAATCGTCCGCCTATGTTCTAGTGTTTCAAGACCCAGGAGTTGACAACGATCTTCGTACGGCGGAAGGTTCACAGGGTCATTCCAAGGAAGGTGACGAAAGGCATACCGAACAAATTTCCTTTGAACAGATTCAATCCTCGCTATCCAAACTGCTTGATACGGGCACCATACTACCGAGCTGAATTCCAAGATCGATCGCACTAGAGAGCAGTATAGAACTTTTAGACAGGCAGGATCGCGAAACTCGTCAGCGATCTTGAAAATGAACCCTAGTTGCCTGTCAGCTTTCGCAACGATGCCCGAGTAATGAAGCTTGAATGTTAAGGGGCAGTCCAGCGTGATTCCTAGGTCACGAACATTATCCACACGTTGCAGAAGTTGGTGATTTATCGTATAGTTGAATGCCACTGGTTTCAGCTTGCGATGAAATGAGATAATATTACATTTTTGTACATTCGACGTGAGATAGTTTCTTGAGCACCACTCTTCGAAAGTATCGATTAGGTGCTGAAGCCGCAAGCAATCGGCAAAGCTACGAACAATCACATAGATCTTCACATAATCCGCGTAGAACGATCAGCAACCAGTTGGGAGGATCAGTCCGGCCTTATTCACAAAAATCGTGAATAGCAATGGTCCCAAGTTGCTACCTTGAGGAACACCGGAGCTGTTTGTAAAATAGTCCGAGTGCTCTGATCCGATTCTAACACAATTCCCGATTGGTCAGATAGGACTTGAACCAACGAGTTAAACCCGAGGATACACCGAGTTTTCCAAGTTTAGCTAGCAGTATGGAGTGGTCAACCCGGTTGAATGCAGCCTTAAGATCTGTATATACAACGTCCACCTGCGCTCCAGCTTCCATACTCCGAAGACATAAAGAAATGAACGGAGCTAGATTTGTTGAAACTGATCTCTTGGGATAAAAACTGTGTTGGTCAGGAGAAATGTAATTTCTGCAGCTAGAGAATAATGCGTCGTTGATGATGATTTCGAAAACTTTAGAGCAGGCACTGAGTGATGTGATCCCTCGGTAATTTTCGACGTTTCTTTTGTCTCCTTTCTTGTAGATCGGGAACATGAATGACGATTTCAAACGCGTAGGGAACTCCCCTGCTGTAATGAAATATTGAACAGCTTCGAAAGCGGTGTTGTAAGCTCTGAACAGCATCGCTTCAGGATGCTTGAGGGGATCCCGTCAGGGCCAGCAGCATTAGAAAATTTCAGCTTCTTGATGGCGGATTCAACGAGGTCTACTGTAACCGAGGTAATCGAAAAATTGAAAGCATCACTGGGAGTGTCCCTCACCGCTTCAGCAACTTGGGACAACGAAGCCGTAGTGTCATTGAAAATGCTTTTGAAATGTTCTGTCAGAAGATTACATTTCTCAAGGGAATTGCTGGCGATTCTATCACCCAGGTGAATTTCGACTGGTAGCCCCTCCTCGTTTCGTTTGGTATTCACGAATGTCCAGAACTGCTTTGGATTAAGCCGTCAATTAGCCTGCACATGCCTTGTGTAGCTCTTGTAAAGAATGCGGTTATATGTGCGATATTCGTTGCTCGCTGCTGAAAATAATCGTTTGGTGAATGGGTTACGAGTACGAAAGTATTTACGGAGGGCCTTCGATCTTAGACGCTTCAACTTCCGTAGTCGAGCATTGGACCATGCGGGTTTGGGAGAGGGTCTCCTCAATGGGACAGAATCAGTTATTGTTTCTAATAGCGAATTCGTTTATTATTCAGTTCCAACCTGGATCGGGTATCAAGCTTGGGTTTGCTTGTTTTCTGACAAACGTCAGTTTGCTCGTTTATTTTTAAAACCTAGCTCAGGTTGAGGTTCACACTGACAAAAAGTACGGTTTCGCAATGGGTTGGAACTGGTGTTAACCCCGATGATAAACGAATTCGCTATAATGGTTATTGTTTATAATGATTGGTTAGAGATGAACTAGCCTAAGGCTAAAAATCTCTTTAATAAATATCTCTTTAAAATATAATGATTGGTGTTTCTGGCGCGTAGAGAAGCTGTTGCCCACAAAACAGCTGCTTGATAACGCCATAAAATTATTACCCTCTTAAATAATTAATAACTTTTTAATTTGATGGCTTATTGTAGGTCTTCTGCAAAGTAAGGTTGCAAATACTCATTTCAGCTAAAACAACGTTTTTTTTTTAATTATGAAATAATTAGATGCCATGATCATATTTTGAATTAGTAGGATACAAGAAGAGGTTGCAAAGAATGTGTTTGACATACTAAACCTGTTTATTTCACTTCATGAGAGTCGCAATCATTGATTTTTCACACACTCACTCACTCACTCACTCAGCGATCAGCAAATCGCTGATTGTGACTCATAGAAAGCAAAATTTACAGGTTTTATGTTTCCAACGCATACTTTGTAACCTCTTCTTGTAAGTTACAAGTAAAACATGCCATCATACCATCTTTTGGTTTTATTATTCCGAAAAACATTATTTTAGCTGAAATGAGTATTTGCAACCTTGCTGCAAAGTTGTAGTTTCCCATAAGAATAGTTAAAGGATGTTTTAACAGTACGATATGGAAAAAAAAATCTAGAAGATAATGAACAAAAAGTTATAGTAATTTCCATGTAAATTTCAAATGGTTTGTGCCAAGTCAGTTTCATTAAAAAAAAAATTTGGGAGGCTAACCAGGACCCGATTTGGAAAAATTCGGGTCTACTGGTTAACCTCTATTTTTGTTTTTGATAGAAACATTCCATGTTTTGATCAATCTCGTTCGATAAAGAGAGGTTGTGTAGGTTGTGCTTGGAATTGGAATTAGATCTTAACCCTTCAATCCAGAAAACATGACCGGGTTAAAATCATGCAATGGTAACTTTTTTCTATAATGAAAAATTAGACAGGATTTCTTGAATTCCAAAAAGAACTTTTAAACAAGCTATGCCAGATGGTCAATCTAAAAATAGTCCTCATCCATGTATTGAGAACGGCAAAGAAAAATTCCGCAATTTGCAACTCACCAATAATCTACTGGAATTTATGACCGGTGTTCGGTGGAACTGTTGCTGTAGGTGATGACTCGATGAGAATCCATTGGCCGTTAGTGCACTTGTTTTGTGACTGCTACTACTACTATTACTACTACTGTTTCGTGTACTGCTGCCGGTGATTGCTGGAACGGTGTGCCCATTGCTAAAACTGCTGCTAGTAGTGCTGCTGACACCGTTGCTGCAGATCTCGGAATGCAGTGTGGAGGAGGACCAGCGTGACGAGGTTGTCTGTACGGTTTGGGCGCGGACCACCTGAAGCGAACCGGACGCGGTCCGGGCTTGAAGGATTTCCATCTGCTTCTTTTGCGTGTGCTGGGTGTTACCGTCCGGCGAGGACAGGTTGTGTGAGACCATCTGAAAATAGAGAGACAAGACAGAAAGAGAACATAGATTCAAGTTCAATAAATCAATTCGAATGATTGAACCAGTCGTAAAACTGCTTGTATGCCCAGGAGAGAATGACCTTTGTGGGTTGTGTAGTAGGATTAATTTATAACTATGACTATAAGCTTGCGTTGGTACATGGTTCTAACAGAGTTCATTCCTTGCAGATATGCCATTTTCAAGGTACGTGGAAAGAAGCGCATGGAATGCCAACAAGCTCCGTTTTACTAGCTGAGCCATGTCTTCCGTACAGCCAAGTTTATCGAAGACGAGCACCTGAAGTGAATTTAAATTTGATGGCTCCCAGTTTCGGACACGCCACCACCGTGATTTACGACCGAATCGTCAGGAGTGAAATGACACGTTATTGCTGGTTATAAATTTTTGGCGGATGCTTTGAGCTGTTTTTACGTCATGTTTGCAGTACATTCCGAACGGAGTAATTAATACTCCTTAAAGGAAGGTTCATTTAATTACCAAAACCACAGCAGCATGACTCTACGAGGTACTTCTTCTGGTGCAACTCTATGGGAAATCATCTAGTGAGCGATAATTTAATTAAGCTTATTGTGGCACATTAGCATGCACATACCAAGTCGCGGCTAGTTCAAAGATAATAATCACGTAAATTCATCGACATATCAACCGGTAGCTGTCTAGCTAGAGGTACTCGTAAACCAGCAATTTAGGCCTGCTTGACCGATATTCAGCCGCCTCGGTACAGCAGTTGGCCGGCGCTTGAGTCAATGATTGGAAAATTACACGAAATTGTTCAAATAGACAAGCATGTAAGCATGTCCTTCCGCCACCCTCTCCTAACACGCAAGAGTCCACTGTTCATTTTATTAAATCATTACAATTATTTGCCTATTCGGCCAAACCGACCGCACTACAACAGCGCAAATTGTCCAAGTCATTATAGAGGAGGGAAAATGAAAAGTGCGAGTGACTTCCATTTAGAGGCGCCGATCGGGCAATTCAAATCAAACTTAACTATTTCTGCCTTGATACATTTTGCCCGGGTAGATTGCTGCTGGATGCAGGCGTTTGCATCGGTGTGGTGGCAATTTGCATAATTTAGCAACTACCGTCGCCGACCGACGGCGGTGCGATTAGATTGTCACCGATCAGAGCACATGAAATCTGTCAATTTTTTTTTTCTTAGGCGGAACACCGATAAATGGCGCAATGAGAACGGTGCTAAGTGTATCGGAATGGATGACAACACGATATACTGAAATATGCTTTCGATTACAGTCAATTCACCCAAACTTGCTATCGAACACGATTAGCTTTGAGTGTCCGGTAATTTTTGCAACCCCGAGCAGCGCCAATAAGTTTTACTGAGATCTCAGTTTGGATGCTGAGTTTTGTAAAATTTTATTATTTGCTGCAAACATAGTTTTCGGTTTTTTTTTTTTCCTTTGGTTTGTTTTTTCCGTAAATTTTTTCCTAAGAATTTTGAGCAGAATTGCAAACGAATTTTGAGGAAAATGAAAAAAAAAAACAATTCGGGGTTAATTCAAAGAAGAGAGAAAAAACAACAATCCTCGTGAATTTCAAGCAGTACTCTTAAGGAGCAGTATTCTGAAAAACACAAAAACTCAAATCTCATCCGTGAGTTTATTCGTCTACGAGTTTTGCTTTGTAAAACTCAACTGCGCAAACATATGCGATGAGTTTTCAGGATCAAAAACTTAATACTTTGGCGTTATTCATTGTTATTACTGTTGTTTTTGCATCAGAATGGAAAACTAGCACAACATGCATAAGCATGCTATTAATTGACGTTTATGCGGTTTTTATCAGTTTCAAGCTGGAATTGTGAGTGTGAGTACGTGAAAATGTATGAGAATCTCAAGCGTGAGATTTGTTTGCCAGATTCACACGCGGCTTCATTCTCTCAGGGAGGCTAAATTAATGAGATTTGAGAATGATTTTTCGAACACTGCAGAATTTCAAGATAGTTCTGAAGAGAACCCTATAAGAATTGTGAGGAGAAATCCGGGGTAATCCTAACGTTAATTTCTGCGGCATTCTGAAGAGAATTATTAATTTTACAATGCGCAACACAATCCCCAACTTCAACTTCGCATCGCTCTGTCAATATTCTTTTCAGAAGAAGCAGTAGGAAAGTAAGAATAAGCACACAATTGTTTGAAGAATTACCGTAATACAGGGCTGTTACAAGATTATAGCATGTTTGCTATTTGTTTGCTCTCAACTTAGTGTTTTTGAAGCGCTTCCACATTTTACACAGCTATCTGTGCTTGTACAAGGAAATCGAGCAATTTTCCATTTCGAAAAATTAATAGACTGGACGGGAATCGAATCAAGCTTCCGCAGACATAGACTTTCTTCGTAGTAGCACCTTCACCGACTGAGCTAAGGAATTATCGTTTTTACCATTTGAAAAAGAATAAAAAATTAACAATGTATCATCTTCAGTTATTTATGTTCTTGCTGAAATTCTGACTATTAAGTGAACATAATAAAACACATTATGAAATTCTAATGAATAAAAGTGGCATAGCTTTTCTGAAACATTATTTTAAAACATTTATGAATTTTGATTTGTAATGCAAATTAACTTGAAAATGATAACCATCCAAATCTCAATCAAAAATAAAGGTGCATAGAACGAATTACCATGTAATACATTTCATTTGAAGTTTTAATTTTTAAGAAAAATAATACTGAAAATCTGAAAGGAGTACTTCAAAAGAGTTTTGAGGAATTTTTTATGGTAATTCCATCCAAAATTCCAAGAAAATTAAATTCTGAATTTCAAGGATAGCTCTAACAAAATTTTGAGGAAAAATTCTAAGGAATTCTGAGGAGTTTTCCAATGATATTACGGGGATAATTTTGAGAAAATGTAAAAGAGATTTCCAAGGAAGGAGGAGCATTTCAATGAATTAATGGGAATTCTGATCAGAACTAAAAAGAATAGTAAGTGCATGCTGAGGAGAACTTCAAGTCTTTTTATTATGAATATTTTTCAGGGAATTGCTAGAATTATTAATAATATGAGGAGCATTGCAGAGAGAAAGTGTTGTGAAGAAGATTTGCAAGCGTATTATGGAGGTAATTATAAAAGAGTTATATGTTTCCACAATTGCACACAGAAAAGGGACACGATGCAAGGTTTGGGAAAAAAAATAGAAATCCGGAGGCTTAGATTTTTAAAGATTTCATGCTTGGAAAATTATATGATTCTGGATTTAGAAAATGTTAATGGTTCAGGGTATTTTATTTAACATTAAATATTCCGGGATATGGAGGAATATTACGGAAAAGTTAGCAGTTTTCAAGTTCCAAAACTAAAAAAAAATATTTGACAAGCCGAACTTTGAAATTTTACAAAATAAACAACAAAAAAGTGGTGTTGAGTTCTTGGCACTGATAAAGTCTGCAAGTAGTAGACGAAATACACGTATCTGTCAAAAGATAAGCAATTATAACGGAATTAAAAGGAAATAAACCAACCCACTCAAAGCTCTTAAAAAAAAGCAGTGTAATGTCAGTTCATGCACTGTATTAATGATATTTTTTCTTTTTGGTAAATAATATTGCACCATATTTTCGACACGATTTCACAGTTATTTTATATCAAAATTAATTTTTTGCTCTGTTGGATTTTGGAACTTTGACAATTTTCTAGATCTCATTGTGACCAGTGAATTCCGATTAGCAAATTTTCCGGTTTTCTTCCGATGTTTGCCCGTTAATTTGGAAATTTTCCCGGTTGTGCGATTTACATTAAAACTAACCGTAAACCCGAAAGCCGTAAAGATCACTTGGTTAAATGGGTCATTACTAAGACAGCATGATTTTTCCTTAATCGAATTCGGACCCTAATTCTTCAAAATTTATCTATATTTTAACATAGTGGGTGAAGTTATTCTCGATGCCACAAAAAGCTACATATCCACTGATCAACACGGATTCATGCCCGGACGATCGTTTACCACCAATTTGTTGAATTTTACGTCGAAGTGCATAAAAAGTATGGACGAAAAAGCGCAAGTCGATGTAATTTATACCGACCTGAAGGCGGCGTTCGATAAAATTGATCATAACATACTGCTACACAAGTTATCTCGTCTTGGAGTTTCTATGCAATTGTTTTTTTGGTTGGAATCCTACCTTACAGAGCGTGTACTTCGAGTGAAGGTTGAGGGTTTTGTATCTTCGCCGTTTTCAAACAAGTCTGGAGTTCCACAAGGTAGTAATCTCGGACCGTTGCTGTTTATTCTGTTCTTCAACGATGCTGCTTTGGTTTTGGGTGAAGGATTCAAACTGGTCTATGCAGATGATTTAAAGCTGTACATTGTGGTGCACACGCTGACTTTGTTTGCCGATTGGTGCCAGAGAAACAAACTGACTATTAGTGTGGAAAAATGTCAGATTATCACGTTTCACCGCATGGTACATCCAATTTTGTTTGACTATCATATCGACGGCGATACTCTTACCAGAGTTGCCAGTGTGACTGATCTAGGGGTTCAACTAGACACAAAAATGACTTTTGATTTACACCGTTCAGCGCTCATATCGAAAGCAACGCGACAGTTGGGTTTTATTTCCAAAGTTGCGAAGGATGTTTCGGATCCACATTGTTGGAAGTCATTGCACTTGTCCGTCCAATTTTGGAAAATGTGTCCGTCGTTTGGCATCCTCACCATGTCACGTGGTGCCTAAGGATCGAACGGGTTCAGAAACGGTTCATTCGTCTGGCACTGAGAAACTTGCTGTGGAGTGATCCTGACAATTTGCCGCCGTATCCTGATAGATGCCGACTGTTGGGCTTAGACACACTGGAACAACGACGGAAAATACAGCAATCGTTGCTTATTGCTAAGCTGCTGAATGGTGAAACTGATGCCCCCGACCTGCTTGCGATGTTGAACTTTCGTGTGCCGAGCAGATCTCTTCGGAATACAACGCTACTGCAACCAAGTTTTCAC